CGCAGGATAGCCATAGAAACGGAGATTAAAAGGATGGAATAACTTATTTTGTTCTAAACAATAATGTTGCTATAAATACGAACATTTTCCTTGTTAGCTTCCTGAAAAGCACAGAACATTTTAGCAGGCTCATCTCTTAACAAAACAAACCAGCCTGCAAATACCTTGCACCCCTCGAAATCATTCCCTGTTTTTGTTGGGAAATGGGCAAACCCACGGTCTGTACCTGTCCCCTCTGGAATCAATAAACTGCACGGTATTTTTCCAAACACAGCTACTTTTGCTGATTTGCGCTTCATCTGTAAAAGGAAAATATCTCTTCCCCCCCAAGTGAGCGATTGTAGATTTTTTCTCAAATTGTATTTGATCACCGAGTGAATTTAGTGCTCGCTCAAGTCCGTGGGCTGACTGCTTGGAAATGGCTCTGCCTGTCTTTGGAGAAGTTACGGCAGAGACAGCAGAGACAGCGGCGGAGCAATTGCCACAGATTATTTCCCAATCTGCTGCCGGCCTCCTTTGGAAGAGCACCATCATTTCAGCCTCCATTTCCACTTTTTGCTGAGGCTGCTGCTTACAAAGATACTAATTGCGATGGCGGGTTTTATGTTAATGGGTTCCACGTAATGATCAGCCCGGCGACTCCAGACCTTCAGATTGTTGGTTGGCTGTGCTGGGAATAAAACTAATGGCATTTGGTTATGAAAATGTCAGACCTCTACGTGGTGATCTAAACTGGGGGCCCAACAAGACCGAAATCCAAGAGCCTCCCCACGATTGCCGGGGGCTGGACCCAGGGATGCCCTTGGAGAAGGAAATTCCTTCTCCCCCAGAAGTGCCATGCTTTGAGGGAGGGCAGCTCCTTGCTGGGATGATACTGGCGAGGATTGGGGTGCCAGGCTGGGGTACCCCTGCTCTGGGGACAGGGTGTGGGGTGCTCGGAGCGACAGCCGGGGATGGAGCTGCGCGAGTCTCCAAATTCTGACTAACGCCGTAACCGGTTTGGTAGCTCTAAAATAGGATTTTAATCCTGGGAAGCATCATTTCACATTCCAGTGATCTAATCAAAATCCTTTCCTCTAATCTCTCCATGGTCCCCCCTTTCTAGATGAAAGAGGCTGGAGTTCCTGTCTTCACCCTTTCTCCGCTGCCTCCCTGTTCTACCAGTCTGTTCTGTGTCCAGGCAACTGCAAAAAGACATTTCAAAGGCTCCTGCCGTGCCATGTAGATGTTTTCTCTTGTTAGTTTGGACTGCAGGTGTGTAAGCCTCGAGGATGAAGTATCGTGGTGCTGTTTTAGGTTCGGGGCACACAGTCGTGGCACAATAAATCACATAGGAACGCTCCGCTTTGAACGCGCGCGCACAGAAAAGGGAAAAGAAAAAAGCATCTGACCTGAATCATTTTCTGGAAACACATCTGGTTAAAATCCAAAGTTTTAAATTGAGTAATATTTTAAAATACATTTGGTAGGTATTAAATTACAGTGTTATATCTGGTAATATTTATGATACTAATGTGTTAAGCGGAGGTTTATATCTGTCAAGAAATATGAATGATTGTCATATGGGCTAACAAATGAATCCTGATATAAATAACATTTTATGATATTTTTAACATTATTGTAGTTTTTTTTTTTTTTTTACAGAAGTTACATTATTGCCAATTTGAAATAAAAGCTCTGTGGCTGCATACCAAAGCTTTTAGCTATGTAATTTTGAATAAGTATAAAGCTGTACGGCTGATTTGGGGAATTACTGAGAAACCTTAACTCTGCTGGAAGACAAATGCTGAGCACCTATAATTCCTATTGTCTTCCATGCAGGATCAAGTCCCTCGTTTGCCATTTTGTGTGGCAGCAAGCCCAAGGAAATCTTGCTTGACAGCTCTGTTTTCTCAAAGTGCTGCATTTCTTCGGGCTGGATTCTGCAAAGATCCTGCAGGCTACAGAGCTCCTTGGAGCAAGTGATAATGTGCTTTGTGTTCCTGCTGAAATGTACCTGTGCACAGTGGGAGAGGGAGCTTGGAAAACTGGGTGCAGCCTGGCAAGAAGATGGTTAGAATAAAGTTTTCTTGGATTTTTATGTTTTGAGGAATCATTCTCATCTGTTCATTTGAGGAAGGTTTTTCTAAAGTTGGATTTGATCTGTGTAAATGCTAACTTCTTTCAATGGGCACTGATAGAGCACTGAAAAAGGAAGCACAGTGGATTTGAAGTTTAAATTTCAAATGGTGGCAGCAACTAGTACTACTTGATCCAAAATAATTTTAAGTATGTTGTACAGATTTCTTTTGGGGAATTGGGTGAAAATCACATTAAATTTTTTTGCCTATTAATGTCCTAAGATCTCACTGATACAGCTCTTTAATGAATATATTTGCACTTTGGACCATCACAGAAAATTATTCTTGTGATTCTTAATGTCATCATCTGGAATACTGAGGAAAATGGATCTTTATTCCGAAGGTCCCAAACTGTTTGGAACAGTTCCCTAGCACAGCTGCTCCCCTGGGCATCAGTCTGCATTCATGAGGATATTTTGGACAATGAGTCCAGTATCGATCACTGGACTGGGCTTCTCTTTGCCTTAATGAACCTGGTTAATTTTCTTGGCCATGACACTGAAAGATGAGGTGCTGCTTCTCCAGCACCTGTTACCTTTGGGTCTCTTCCCCAAGGATTCTTGTGTTTTTTTTCTTCTCATTTTCATGTAAACTGACTCCCAAATTTCTGTCAGTGCTCCTAGAAGAATTCCTCCAGAGCCTTCTCTATACCCCTGTCTGCTCCTTGTCCAGCCCCTTCCCTCCTCACTTCATGGCTCATCTTTGCATTTTCTTCAGCTGATTCTTGTCCCTGGCTGCCTGTGCCTGCTAGAAAGGAGCTCCTCATTCCAAAATCCCAGCCCTCTCCACTGTGGAAGTGCCCTTCTGTTCACCTTAAATTGGATTTGGGATATCCTTTACTGCTCTGTGCCACTGCACAGCGAGATTCCACAGGGATGGCAGGAAACAGAGACAGCCAAACAGATAATTTATGTTCCTGGGAGATTTAGTCCAAATTAAGATCAAAACTCATATATGTCTTCCAAATCACAGATTTTTTTTTTCCAATTATTGTCAATGACTCTAATTCTGCTTGATTTATATCCCTGGTAGTAGCCAGAGGTTTTGCAGCGCATAAATTGCCTGAGGGTTTGGCCACTGATGTGGATGCTGTGACATGTAGAAGCTCAGGAAAGCCCCTGAGCAGAAAATGGTTGGAAACAGGGAAAACAGCAGGGAGAAGTGTCCCCCATGCCTGCACACGATTATCTGAGTGTCCAGCTGTGGTCACTCAGATGGATGGACTCTTGTTTTCTCAACCAACATGGCAATTCCCACTTTTTTTTGGTAAATTGGGAAAGTTTTAGCAGAAATCATATAGATGGCAGCACACATGATCTAAACACAAAATCCTGTGATTTCTGTTAGCCTGTGAGCACTGCACAGCCACAGATGCACTCTGGCAGGTGGAAGACAAGAAAGCAATTCTCACAGAGGGCAGGGAAAGCAGCCACAATTAAAAGCAAAGTAAATTTGCTTGGTGTGGTTACTTGCTGGTTAACTCTGGAGACATTTATGAGGATCCAGCATAACCCACAACAGACCTTCCTTGGGGATTTGTGGATTAACCCACACCAACACAAACATGGCACTGCTGGGGTGTCTCTGCATGTGCAGCAGGAGTTACTGAAGACCCCAAAAGAGCTCCCACAATTTTTCTCAAATAGCTGCTTTTCTCACGAAATGTTCCATCCAGATGCATAGTGATGTTTTGGCCAACATCTGGAACAGCAGAAAGAATTAGAGGAGGAAAGGATCTATTGGGTTGTGCATTCCCTGGAGCTGGAGTGAATAAATTTGATACTGATTTCTCTCAGGGTATGGTTCACCCCAGTTTTAATCCCTGTCTTCTCATCCTATATCCCATTAACAGGATGGTATCAGAACCAGGATTTTGTTGGTTGGGAGGCACATCCAGCAGCACTCTTCTCTCTGACTTAGGCTGGTCTTGATATGGGAATTCAGCTTTTCTGCCCCCTAAAGGGATCAGCAGACAAGTTAGTAGGTTATGTTCCCAGGAAAAATTCCCACCTTTTTTCTCACTTGAAGACTTCCATGTCTTTTACTTTTTACTGGTTTCTCTTAGAGGTTTGGGGGTTGGGTTTTGTACATCCTTTTTTTTTTTTTTTTTTGGTGGTATTTAACTTTCACTATTCCTATCATGAACCCTCACCCACTTCATGCAGCCACTTCCTCACTTCAGGTTCTGGCTGTTCCCCTCTCCCTCCCTGCTCAGGTCCATTTTGACCATGCTTTTCCTCCACTAACTCTGTCCCAGATAGGTATTTCCCAGTTTCTGCTGAATCTTCAGCTCCCATATTCCACATTTTATTTTAGAAGGCTGCATTATTATTTTAAATGCCTTTTTGTGTTCTGAACGTCACCTGGGCTTATTCTGTTTGTTTGTGCCACCCTGGCAGTGGCAGGGGAGCTGGTTTGGTGGCTGTGGCTGGGGGCTCTTCGTGACATGGAAGGATCCTGGATCCTCCCTCAGCTTCTCCATTCTGTGCAGCACCAGTGGGCACTGGGAGATCCAAATCTCGTGGTGGCTGTGGGGCACCTCGAGGGCTGCAGGGTGAAGGAGGAGGAGGAGGAGAAGTATAAATAAAGCAGCTCAGAGCTGCTCCCTCACCTCCAGTTCCCCTTTCCTTCCCTTCCACAGAAGTGCTGAGTGCAGAGCTGAGCTGCCCTGGCAAAGGAAAGAGAAGAAAGGTTTTTCTTTCACTTTCCAAACACAAACACTTCACGTGGGACGGAAGAAGGGAACATCCCTCTGCTCCTGTCCTCCAGCTGGGCTTTCTGCTCCCATTGTCTCCCCACAATGGGTGATCATGTCCCCCATGGACACCTGAATTGTGATCTGAATTGTGGTGATTTGGGTGTCTGAGGTGGTTTGTCCTCCAATAATGAGGGTGAGGTTTCATTTGGGGAAGCACATCTTTTCTTAGAAATGAGAGCACTGTGACTGACTTAGCACAACTGTGATTTTCTGCAAACACAACTGTGTTTGGGGTGGTTGCATGCGAATGCTGGGGAAGGAGAAACAGTAATTCTGAATTAATGCACAAAGGGAGAAAATAGACTCCCTTAGAGGAAGCCCTGAGTTCACTGCAGCTGCCACACGCTGGCAAAACTGATGCTGTGTCCCACAGGAAACATTTCAGTGTGGAGAACCTCCTGTTTGAAGAGATCGTACCTGTGCCTGTTGTGACACATGAGTGAGCCAAAGTGCTTGGGGGAGCACATCAATCCATTCTTTCTTTAGCAACATGTATGAAATAAATTGGGTTTTTCTCCCCTTGGTGTTGCATCATTTCCTATTTGGTGTCCAGATGGTGACAAATTACCAAACAGGGGAAAAAAAATATCCATGTAGTATTTTGTATTTAAACGTTACCTTCTTCTTTGGAATAAAGAGATCCAGTTTTATTCTGGCCATGATTCTCCACATTAATGTGCTGGCCCTTGTCTGCATCTGCTTGGCATTATCCTGGATTGGGGCTTTAACCTGCTATGAATCCAAAGAAATTATACAGAATTGATGGGATCAGTGTGAATTTCCAGAGGTGTAGGCTAGTGCAGACTCCATCCTATTAATCTTATTGTGTTCTTTCTGTAAATAACAAGCTGGATTCAGCCCAACAAGAGTAAAACAAATTGGAAGCATTCATAAAGAGAAGTAAATGGCTTTAAGATGTAAGAATAACGTATTGGTGGGTTGTCTCCAAGAATCCACTTTTTAAAGGTACCAAAGCACACACAAAACTTTAATTTAATGTGTTCTTAAGTGGCTGGTGTGTGGGACTGGCTGCTGAAGCAGGGCCATGGGCATAAGACCTGCTTTCATGAAGGGATTATATAAAAAAGCAAAAACTGCAAGAAGGAGAAAAATGTTCAAGGGCAGCCAACCTGGAGGAAACAAAATAATTTAGTTGTGTGAAGTGTTTATAAATGCAGTTTATGAACATGTATGAAGGAGTAATTTTTTACTTTTCAGACTGCAACTGTAACACAGAAAATAAACAATTGCTTATTTGTCCTTTTCAGGGACTTTTAGAGAATACTTTCCAGTTTGGCTATGTATTTTGACCTGCTTTTTCCTGTTTAATAGCTTGTTATTCTGTTGATTATTTCAGATTAGCTTTTTGTGTGTGCTCTTCTTTATTTGTGATTGATAGGAAAACATTTACATGGTTTATCTGAAAGTGGAAATTGATTTTAAATTTTGTTCAAAGTTTCAGATTTCTACATGCATGGGCTACCAAACTTGATCTATCAGTCTCACTCCTTGGTTTTCTTGCATCATCGGAATAAATGTGAAATGACACAGAATGCCTGGAATTGCAATAATGCAGTGTAACAGAACTGACTATCAAGCTTCATATATAGATTAGATTAATGCATAAATCTAATTTGATATTTTACATTACTGAGCTAATATTTTACAGATGTAATGCCAAGTTGTTAAGTAAATGAAAATCACGGAGAGTCCAATTCTGAAAGGATTACTCAGGCAAAAATCCCTGCAGTCACAGGGAGTATTGCCTGAACGAAGTCTGCAAAATTAGAACTAGAGCCATATTCCCCAAACAGACAAGCAGATTTATCTGTGAGATCTGCCTAGGAGTTGAATTCTTGTAACAATGAAAGATATATAGGGAAAACGAGCAAGTAGGTAACCTGAAATATAAGGAGGGACTGATAAGATCTGAGCAAGCACTTGTGTGGTTGGTGATGTCAACAGGAGCCCAAGTTGTTTTAATAAACTTGTTCATAGCTGTCCTATAGTGTGTTTTATATACTGAAGTACATAGATCACGTAAGAGTTTAACAAGAAGAGGATTCATATTAAATTTGCACATAAAATACCTCCGTGAAATATGTGAAATGCTTTTCTTTTTTTTATATGATTCCAATAAAACATCTATCATAAAACTCTGCCCTCCTGCTTCTTCACATCCAGTTTCAGCTGTTGCTTTGT